ACTATATACTATATTATTATACTATATATTATTATACTATATTATACTATACTATACTATACTATACTATACTATACTATACTATACTATACTATTCTTGCTGAGGAGGATTTCAAAGAAAGTCGAAACGTTCAAAATAAAGAAGACATCAATCCAACATCTGATTGTTGATTGTTCATCAAATAATTGCACCGTTTCATTGCTGACTCTCATTAGCCTATTATATTTATCTTTTTGTATTGTTTAAAATTCGAGAGTTCTAATGTAATTGTTGTTATATTATACTATACTACTATATTTATATATTTATTACTTATTTACTTATATGTATAAGTATATCCTATCATATGAACATGACATAAGAATCAATCGGAATGCGGAAAATGACAGATTAATTGGAATTAATGCCATTTTTTAAATTCTCTATAACGTCTAGAATTGCATACTTGCAACATTTTCTATGCATAAATATGTCTGATCCCTCCCGCCTCCACTTAACCAAATTTTAATAAATAAATTATATAATGCGCTATTTATGCGCTCTCAAAGTCCGCAAAAAATTCATTTCGTTCAGCTAAAAAAGATTTTTTTGGAGAAGCTGAGTAGGCTATCAGTCAGCCCTTCCATGTGTTAATAATCAATTTGGAAAATCAAATACACATGATTTATGCATTAATTTATGCGTTTTCATATTCACATAGTTTCAATTTTTGCGCTGCAACCCTTAAGGAACTTTTCTCTTAGAGCAAACAATAATATTATCTAAGTCATTAAGAATTGTGAAAACATACAATACATACTTTAACTGTGCAAAGTATATTTTATACGCTATGAATTCATAGAATGAGAAATTACAAAATAACACTAAACTAATTTATCCTAGACTCCTTTAATTGAACAAATTTAGAAATATATATTAGGTGTACTTTGCTTCCGCCGTTTTCCTATAGATGGCTTTAGCGATAAGTGGTGGTCGAAATAAATAGATCATAGACGTCATACAATAAACTTGGGCATCTGTCAACATAACCCCATAGAAACATTAGTCGATTTGTGTCTGCATCATAAAGTTATTCTCGATTGAAAATGTCAGTTTACGAGCCAAATTCTCGTCATTTGCGGGAGGTTTTAATTTTTTGCTTCAATATGAAGAAATCTGCGGCTGAGGCTCATCGAATGCTCTCAAATACTTATGGTGAGGCCGCTATTAGTGAAAGAACGTGAGTTTCAACGCTTCAAGAACGGTGATTTTGACGTCCAAGGTCATGCTCTGTATTTGGTGGGACTAGCTCGGCGTAGTGTATTATGAACTGTTAAAACCGACTGAAATAATCATAGGCGATCGGTATCGAAACGCAATTGATGCGTTTGAGCCGAGCATTGAAAGACAAACGGCCGCAATACAAGGAGAGACACGATAAAGTGATTTTGCAGCATGACAATGCTCGACCCCATGTTGCGAAAGTGGTCAAGACATACTTGGAAACGTTGAAATGGGAAGTCCTACCCCACCCGCCGTATTCTCCAGACGTTGCTCCCTCTGACTATCACTTGTTTCGATCAATGGCACACGGCCTGGCTGACCAGCACTTCCGGTCTTATGAAGAAGTAAAAAATTGGATCGATTCATGGATAGCCTCAAAAGATGACCAGTTTTTTCGACGCGGGATTCGTACGCTACCCGAAAGATGGGAGAAAGTAGTGGCCAGCGATGGACAATACTTTGAATCATAAATGTATAACCAGTTTTTTACAATAAAGCCTCGAATTTCGGAAAAAAAACGGCGGAAGCAAAGTTGTACACCTTCTCTTCTTAATATTAAAAATATAAACCTTGATTTTGGATGTTTTCATAATTTTAATCTATTCATCAGCAATCTTTTCCCCTTAATACAACGGTTGGATTATCTGTATTACATTTTATATATTTCTGAATTCATAGAAATCCATGTAAATTCTAAATTATTCAATTAAATAATTAATTGATTTATAATTTTAACGGCTCTGTATATCGTAGCAGATTATATATTTTTGTGGGAAAAAAGAAATTGTATATTTTCATTTTTAATGCAAAAAATATAGTAAATTGCAGGTGAAATGAACAAATATATGTAAATTGATACACATTTTGATTGAATCTTGTACATTTTTGCCGTTTGATTGGTATAAATTTTTTTTTATTCTGGCAATACCGAAGAAAATTAAAAGATTTCGCATTAGGATTTTCAACGTACACGACACAAGGGACCGTTATTGATTGTCGATTCACGAACGCGGCGACTGGCGGGTGAGAAAAGCGAATTACCTACTCTTTGCTTTTGCTGGTGAGGTTCGGGGAAGAAAGGTTTCCCAGGTACTTAGGACTAGCTATAACACACAGACACATTGCACGTCCGGCGCACCGGTGCACCGCAGCCGTTTTCGTTTTAATTCAAGTGGCACGGCTATTAGCACTCTGTGGAAAAAGGCAGGAACCCGCCGCGCCTGGCGGTATGCAACGGCCGTTCGTCTCGTACACAAGTGTAACGGGCTGACAGTATAACTGCGATCCGTGATGAAGTCGACCCTGTGCGTGTATCCAGACAAATATTGTCCGCATTGTGGAAGGCACGTGATAGACGAGACAGGGCTGCTTTTAGATACATATCGTTCGATTTTGTTCAATTCGATTTGATCAAGTGATCCTGCATTGATGTAATGTTGTACTTACATTTCTCCCTGTAAAAAATCTCTCTGCTCGAGATTATTCTGAAAACAGCATCGGGTGTGAGAAAGTAAATTAAATAAGTAAATTTGAATAAGTAAATTAAAAGATAAAAATTAAATTTCTCTTTTGGATAATTATTTATTATTTTATCATTAGGTATTAGTGGTTTTAGAAAGGAGAAATGAGTGTTACTTTAATATGTAAGTTTACATGATAATTTAATTAAACAAATATTAAATATTAAATATAATAGCTTTTATATTATTATATTAAATTTTGTGTGTGTGTGTGTGTGTGTGTGTGTGTGTGTGTGTGTGTGTGTGTGTGTGTGTGTGTAGGAAATTAAAGAAAAATTCTAAGAATATATATATATATGTAAAACAAATAAAATTTTTTGGAAAAAATTAGTATTAACTAAATTTATAGAATTATTTTCTGTGGACAGTATCATAATTTGTTTTTAATTCATAGGATATAAGAATATTATTATATTCTCTTATAGTTGAATTTTTTAAGGTTTATCGTAACAAAATGGAAGATAGTCACTCCATATATAATTCATAATGTAAAAGTTATTATAAAAGGTTTTAAAGAGCTTTAAAAGCTCGCTAGATTGCCAAGTTATAATCGGTGAAAAAAGTTTGCAAGATTTTAATCCCATTTGCCTTCGTGATGCATTTTATTTCACAGAAAAAACTCACATGTGCATATTACATGTATTTTAAAAACAAGTAAATAGGGAAAACATTCTCTCATAAATATTTCAATATTTTATCTCCGGATCAAATATGCTCAGGATTATATTATAAATCACGCATTAAACAGAGATATGGGATATCATCATAAAAAAATATTATTTTTGTATAAAATGTTTTTAAATTTTGATATATATGTAGTAGATTAAATTACAGATAAAAAAATTATATATAGATAAATGATATTTCTATTATTTTTAATAACCTATTTTCAGAATTGATATAGAATTGTGTCTCTTTCTCAAAGAATTATATTTTTGATATATTTCCAAAAAAATCTTCTGATGTGTGATTAAAAAATATAGAAAAACAATAATTAGAACATTAGAAAAAGGTTAATGAGAGTCTACGCTGATGTAACAGCGAAGAGTTAGGAGACGTAGATAATACTCAAGTGTTGACGGTTATCTTCATTTATTATAACGTTTTGGCTCACTTTGAAATCATCTTCAACAAAAATAGAATATCTTATTGAAGGTAAGTCACTCGCAGCAAAAATGCAGTAATCAATACGCTATATAAATTATTACCATTTTACTGTTAGTACAATAATTAAAAATCGTGATAATCGTGTGACTCATCTCAACGGGAAAACAAAGAAATTCAAACATTGATTCACAATTTTCATGTATAATATAAATTAATTTGTGTTAAGTGAGCCGAAACGTTCGATATAATAAATGAAGACAATCGCCAACATTTGAGCATTATTTACATCTTCTAATTCTTCTCTTACATCAACGTTAGACTCTTATTAGCCTTATTCTAATGTTCTAATTATTGTTTTTAAGATTGAGAATCCTTATTGATATTTTTATATATTTATGTAATTGGTTAAAAAATATAGAAAATAGACATTTAAAGAATATTTACTTTGCGTTTTTGTTAGAAATTGATTATTCTTCTTTTTATTGTAAGAAGAAAAGAATCAGTTCTTTAAAAAAATTTCTGAAAAATGAATGGTAATAAATTAAAAAAACATTTAATAAAGTGATTTTCTGATGTTATAAAATGGAATTATTTCTTATCAAATCTTTTCAATCGGGATCAGTTTGAGCTTCAATATTTTTCGATAAAACTCTCGAAACGTTATCGAGAAATGTTAAGAAAATATTTGCTTTTAGAAAAAAATCTTTCATTAGAAATTTTCAAGTTTTTAAAATTCTCTGCAGTTATCTTCTTCAGGAATACAAAATAAGCGAGTGGAATAAAAAAGAAATAACAAAGTACATAGAAGTAATATAAGAGGAAGGAAAATTAAAGTAATTTTCTGAGTCTTTGATATTAAAACTTATACGGAATTTTTTCTTGTTGCAGAAGTCGAGGAGCGCTTCGGGAAGGCGCGCGGCGGTAAATTAGCGCGTCGTGCGCGCTCCTTCAAGGAGGACTTTCTGGAAAAGCTCTCCCACATGCGTTCTCCTGGTAGCGGCAGCGGTGGCGGTGGTGGAGGCAGCGGAGCGGCCACGAGGGCCGCCTCGCCCTCGTCACCGCGTACGCCGCGTGACAAGAACGCCTCGGGCTCCAACGACTCTGGCACCGCTCTGGATAAGAATCCCCTGCGCGACTTGCACATCCACGTACGGCAGGTGCAGCTAGCATTGCTTCATTTTCGGGATGTCGTATCCAAGAAGAAGCTCGAGATGCTGCCCGGGAACGGCACAATTGTCCTTGATACCGTTACCACGATACACAACGCGTTAAAATCTTATCTGCTCTACGAAAACAGGTGATTATTTTGTATGCAAAATAGTTTCATTACCTAATAGTTGCTTTATAGGAGAATATAGAAGAAGTAAGTAGAACAATTTTTAAAAAGTCAGTTTCATTATTTTACTTAATTTATTATTCTACTTACTAAACAATATGATTCGATATTGTGTTTCATTTTATGGAGAATTTTGTTTGAATGCTGTAACTTTAATAGCGAAAAAGAAATATCTAGATTTAGATTGCAGTGTAAGAAAGAATTGATTAATCACATTTTCTCGATTCTCTATCCTGGTACTTGCAGTTCCACATTGGGATCTGCCACGAATCAAGTGTACCAAGCGTTAGCGCAATTGCTGAAACTCTGCGACGATGTGCTGCTGCATGGTGATCAATCTTCCGCTTTGGACACCGAAAACGTGACGCATGTTATTGGACTGGTCGAGGAAGCAGTAAAAAATCTAGTAGCTCTGGCGCATGAGAAAATCGCTAATAAGCAGAAACCTCCGTCTGCTACAAATAATAATAGGTAATTTTGTAGTAATAGTGAATTAAATTTTAATACAATATATCTCGAAATAGCGAAAAATCGTCATCAAAATAAAAATAGTATATTTTAGAAGTAAATATAAAATATGTATTAATTATATAAAATATGAATTAATGCATTGATAAGATAGAGCTGGAGATTTAATAGAAACAATGTAGAAAATAACATCTAATTATAACATTAATGATGATATGAAATTTTAATAAGCTTGATATATAATGGAAAGTTATATGTGATTGATTATTAATTATTATTTAATATGAAATGCTTTCACGAATATTATAAAGTGTACATTAATATTGAAATAGGATTTCATAATCTTTGATATTTCATATGAAGATGATTGAAGGATAAATTATAAATAAAATCAATACAAAATTTGCTCAAAATCCAATATAACTCATTATAAATTATAGAACTTCCGGATATGGGTCAGAACTAACACAAAGAAATTCTCTACCGGATATACCGTTGACACCAAGAGAACGACAGATCTTGGAACAAACGGCAGCAAGTAGTAGCTTGGTTCGCAGCTCGCATAGTTCCGAGTCGATTTTACGGGATTCTAGTCCACCCCCGAAACCTCCTCTACCTGACAGGTAACATTTGTTTCGCTATAAAAAGGAGAATAATAAATTACTTGTCACTAGAAGTTGAACGTAGAAACGCTCGATCCCTTGTAGAACAAATGTATGTTTGTCGGAGGAAAATAGCTCTTCTGGTACACCTCCTCCGTTACCGCCGAAGAGAAGAATGAGAACTCAACAGCTCCTCGACGAATCAGAGGGTCTTCTGGCATCTAGTCTCGATAGGGTATCCCTTCGAAGTCGATCTCCAGAGGATTCGTCATCTCTTCTGAGCGCATCGGCCGGTAGTTTGGATTCGGCTCTGAATCATTCCCGAGACGAAGATGAGATTCGAGCTATAATGGGACCAAATGACGAATCTTTGAATGACAGTATGGACCTAAGTCTCATGGCTACTATCCAAGGTAATATTCAAATAATTTATACTAAAATGTTTACTTGTAGTGATATCATTCGAGTATTCTACATTGAAACTTTATTTTTAATAATACTGCTTAAATATAATTGTTAATTGTTAAAAAATTTTTATGCTTGTAATAATAATAATAAAATTATAATAATAAAATTATATTGTGTTATATTACATAACATAAAGTATTTTTTTAATGTATACGATATCATTATCGAGTTCGAGATTAGACATTAATTTTTTCGGATAATATTTGAAATAGTACTATGAAAGAATTGTTGTAAATACATTGCCATATACGTAAAATGAATAGTCCATGGTCGACGCTTACTCAGCATATTAGTTTGTCATTCTACTTGCCTTGGTTTCTGTGTCAGTCTACAATCGTTCGTTCAAGCTATACAAATAAATTTCTATTATTTGTGATTAGGATAAATATTTTATTTAAGAAAAATCACGATTATTATGGATCCAAGATTCCCTCGCGCTTTAAATACCCTAGTCATTAATAAGCGATTGAAGTTTATAACGTTAAGTATAAACTATGAAGGTATTTTAGGAATTTTACATAATATTAGATACATAGCGTACTAGTGAGATAATTAATTTTTACACCATTTTTATAAAGTAAAAACTATTATTAATATTTCTTGGGAAGAATGTGTGTATTATTATTATAATATATATTTTTAATATTAAATAAACTGAGTTCGTGTTTGTGGGTTTATTCTTTATATTTGTCATGATGATATTAGATTGCAGATTTTTTGCAAAGTAACGTATATTCTGTATTCTTGTAGGCATGCAAGTTAATGGTACATCAAACTGTAATTGCTGGGATGGTTCTGAAACTAATATACCAAGTACTATGTTGCTAGGTCAACAAACACCTCAAGAAATGCTTAATCCATTTACTGGTGTGTAAATTTTTTATTAGAAATAATCTTTTATTATGAGAATAAATAATTTACTTTTGTGTGTGTGTGTGTGTGTGTGTGTGTGTGTGTGTGTGTGTGTGTGTGTGTGAGAGAGAGAGAGAGAGAGAGAGAGAGAGAGAGAGAGAGAGAGAGAGAGAATTGATTAATCAGTAATATTGGTCAATTAATAATTAAAATTACATATATGTTGCAATAACAAGCTAAGAAAAATTTATTTCAGTAACATAAATTAATAGAACATTTAAAATTATTTATCGTTTTTATTGTTGAGTTACATAACTTTTTTACTCAAGTATTTCCAATTATTTACAAACATTGGAAAAGGAAAAAAAAATGCGATGCTAAAATTATGCAAGAATTCTGAAAATAGTTAGTGGAACAAGTTGCGTAGGTATCATCAACCTTCCAGCCGCGTGAATAAACAGTATCGTATAGATCTTCACTCAAAGCACAGCAAAATTAAGTGAAATAGATTTTAGTGAAAAAAATTAAGTGAATTCTTTTTTTCATTTATCGTAGTAGTAACATAGATATTTTGTGAAATGTCACGTAGATCTAATTTTAGTTGGGAAAATGTTAAAATGTTTTTTCGTAAGAAAACTTCACAACTTTTGTGAATTTATTTATGATGTCTTTTTAGATTCTGAATAAGCTTGTTTTAAATTAATTTTGTTTTAGGTATAGAAGGAAAGATGGAGCGATTATCTACACAAACGCAGGAATCAGGCTTTGTTTCTATGCATTCTCAACGAAGTTCATCCCAAAGTTATACCACCGCGTCCAGCTTGACATCCAAGAGATCGTCGCAGCAGAGCAGCATTAGTTATAATTCTCAATCGTATAGTGCACAGCAACAGTCGTTTTCTCAGACCAAATTATCATCGGACAGTAACGGCTCTATTTTTACACAGAAGACGATGAGTAGTTCCAAAAGTACTATTAGCACGACTAACATGTCTGGAAATGGGGACCCAGCTTTATTAGAGAAACTGGTAAATGTGGGTGTTGTTATGTTTTATGTTTTTGTTTTATTTTTATTTACTTTTATGTGCTCTAAATTTTTTAATAATTTAATTATTTGATGTATCTATGATGTATACAGGAAATGGAATCGATAGTTACATCCGATTCTAATGGAGCGCCTCCAGCATTGCCAGAGAAGCGATCCAAGCGAAGAAAAGAACGACAGCCGTCGCAGTATGATAATGTACCAGAAAATGAGCATTTATCCACTTGCACTTTGCATACTAGTAACGGAGATAGTCTGGATATCAATAAACCACCTCCTTTGCCTCTAAAGAAGCGGCATAGTAAGTAATCTTTTTTATTAATTATTAATATCGGTAATGAGATAAAAGACATCAACAGAATATTTAATAACATTGATAATTGATTGCTTTATTTTTTCACTGTTAATTTTAAGATACACGAATTTTGAAAAATACTGCATTAATAAATACTCCTCGCGAGCTAGTGTAATAATTTTGCATAATTGTAATCTTTATGTTTAATTAATACAATCTATCAATACGCAAATGATTCCAAATAAAATAATATTAGGCATTCCAAATTATCTTTTGATAGTAGATTAAAACTGATGCAATGTTTTGTATCCCCCAGTGTTCCAATCAGTGGCATATTCTGGTAAGTGGGATCCTGCCCACATAATTCAACTACCCCTTCGGCAAACATTTTCACGCTAAGTTAATATCCTATGTTTCACATATTTACATTCCAGGCTTCTCTTGCGGCATGTTTACTGTTCTATTTTTATTAATTATTATATTTCTTTTCTTATCTTTAATATTTTAAAAATATGATATTGTTTGATATTGAGCTTGAATTTTTATTGATAATTGCAGCTTATTCTTGGCTTACTTTTAATTTAATATAATAGATATAATAATGCGGAAGTTTTTGCTATGATGTTGAATATTATACTAATTGAAAAATATATTTTTTGATTGGTATAATCTATAATATCATATACATCAATATATTGTATACACATATTAACACAATGATTAATACCGTTAATATTATTTATTTATTTTATATTGCAATCTCTTTCCACATTTGGTCTACCTAAGATTTTATATTATACATTAAAAACTACATTTTTATTATGTAATTTAAGAATAGATATAATACATTTTTAATATTTAAAATGTGAAAAATTTTGCGGGTTTTATACAATTCATTAATATAGATGAATGAAAGGCAGTTCTAGCGAGTTTATGTAGGCGTGTTCTTTTTCTAATTATTTTGACCTCTCTCACTAATACTCAGTTAATAGTTACATTTCATCAGCTGTTGAAGACTTAAAGTTTAGTTTCCTTTCTTACGTTAAGATAAACGGACTTAAAATTAAAGAATGCAGTGAATACTAAAGTATAAGAATTGTATGTTAATGTGAAGCTTTCTTAATTTGTATACTTTTAATTAAGTCTACAATTACTAGAGCACTTGTTTCTATTGTGCAATAGCACAAATTGAGTGTAACAAGTGGATATAATATCTACAGTTATACGTAAAATGTTGTTTAAAAGATTTCACTTTCATTCCAGTGAGTTTTTCATTTTTACACATCGCTTAATCAAAATAATAAATACACAAGATTTGTTTGTGCATCAGTTTCAGTGTTTTCATGCAATCCATACATATACCCATGTTTTAATATTTTATTGCAGTACACATCTCGTGCTTGCATTTATCGATTGTATTTTAAAAAATCCTTTTTTTATAGAGTAGGTTTTTTATAGAATAATTTATAATAACAATAGTGATTTTTTTTTTAAATGAAATTTATGTTAATTTATTTACTTGCACGTATTTCAGTTATGGCATACATGGAGATGTTCGGGAACTGCTCCCATAGTAATAATGATTTCATCTCTGGTCTTGGTACCCGTCATTCTGTAGCAGCTTACAATTCCATGCAAGCAGAATGGCAGCAACATGAGATGTCTCTTACTACAACCCAATCGTGTTCCTTCATGACACACACTGTGACTGCTCTACACGATAATTCAAGGTATTATTCTATAAGTTATATCGTTTTTATTATCATTATTTACTTTTTCTATAAAGATACTTTTAGCACTTTTGTTAAAGAAAATAGAATCATCATGAGGTCCTATTTTATCTAGCCTTTCTATAACTACGACGCCAAGCTTAGTAGAGACAAATAATTCTAGTCTGCCTCCGGCATTACCACCAAAGAGATCTCGTTCCATTAAATCAAACATTACACCTCCACCAATATCACCAAAACCGACCATTAGCATGCAGAGTATTCATAATTCGGATCCTCTTGTGACGTCAACACCTCTAAAAACGGAGGAACCAATACATGAAAAGAAAGATCCTGCACCTTCCACTCCAGTAAAATTGGTAAACGTTAATGTAATAATTTTACTATTGCGTTTTATTATTATAGAATTACAATTGTATAATAGTTATTAAGTATTAATATGATTGTAATCATTTTATTTCAGAATAATAATGTTATTATGGATACAGTATTATCATCGTCTAGACCTGCTAGTAATGCACTTTCTTCCATATCAGTTGATGAAAATACTCTTGAGCTAAGAGATATTGATCAAGATGATAGCATTTTAGATGAATTAGATATTAGCAAATATTTAGTATTAAAAAAACCAGATGAAGAAGGTCCAGATATACGTGGTGGACATCCGGATGCATTATTAATCCACGCGACAAAAGCAAATAAACATGGTATATACTTTTTCTTAATTCATTAAACTTAAGAGATATAAAGCTTAAAATTTTTATGAATAATTTAATTTTATTAAAATTAAAATATAATTTTTTAAAATATACTTTATTATATTATTTATTTATCTTTTCATGCTGCATAGATGAAAAAGAATCAGGTAATTAATGAAATATTTAAAGTACAATATTGCATATAAAAAATGATAAATATAATAAAAATTATAAACGGATGAATTCAATTTTAATAAAAACAATGCATTTTTTACAGATTTCCTGTATCAAGAAGCGTTTTTAACGACGTACAGAACTTTCATACAACCATTAGAATTAATTCGTAAACTACATAGACGTCATCAACGTTTTTCATGTTCTCCAGATGTTGTTAAACAAAGAGCCGCACGTGAAGCATTTTCTTTACTTGTTAGAGTCGTAAGTGATTTAACGTAAGTAGAGATTCTGTTATCTATATTAATTACGCGCGCATATTCTTATAAGTTTGATTGCGATTTATAATATAACTAATTATTTACAGAATATCTGATCTTGATGACATTCTTTTGCAAACTTTAATGGAATTTGTACAGCAATTAGTGTGCAGCGGAGATCTTACTATGGCCAAAGCGTTGCGAGTTAAAATTTTAGAGAAGCACACTATGAAGCAATTACAAGCAGCACAACCAATTCTCTCGTCTCTAAGTGTTACAACGAAACAAGCTTCCTTATTAGATTTTAAAAGCGAACAGATTGCGGAACAAATGACACTACTTGATGCCGATTTGTTTATGAAAATAGAAATTCCGGAAGTGTTGATTTGGGCGCAAGAACAGAATGAAGAGAGAAGTCCGAATCTTACAAGATTTACTGAACATTTTAATAAAATGTCATATTGGGCACGATCTAGAATATTAGAACATCGATTAGAAAATGAAGCGAAGGATAGAGAAAAATATGTCGTAAAGTTCATTAAAATAATGAAGCATCTTAGGAAAATTAATAATTTTAACAGCTATCTCGCATTATTATCTGCATTAGATAGTGCACCTATTAGGAGACTTGAATGGCAAAAGCACATTACGGAAGGTCTCAAGGAATATTGTGCTCTTATTGATAGCTCTAGTAGCTTCCGAGCTTATAGACAAGCTCTAGCAGAAACACAACCGCCATGTATTCCTTACATGTAAGAATATAAATATTTGTTGTTGCTCAAAAAATACAAAAAGTTTCATCTATCAAGAATATATGTATGTTTCTCTTATTTCAGCGGACTTGTTTTGCAAGATCTTACATTTGTGCATATTGGAAATAGTAATTTATTACCAGATGGCACTATAAATTTCTCCAAGAGATGGCAACAATTTAATATTGTTGAAAATATGAAAAGATTTAAGAAAGGGTAAGTGTTTGCACTACAAATCATTAATAAATCTTAATGTTATAAATATTGTTATAAATATACTATAAATGATTATTATTTTACAGCACGTACTCTTTCAAGAAACACGAACGCATTATGACGTTTTTCAACAACTTCAGTGATTTCCTCTGTGAGGAGGCGATGTGGCAAATTTCCGAGAGCATCAAGCCACGTGGTGGCAAGAAAGCACAGCCGCAAAACTAGAATATACCTAACCCTTTCACTGCCTGCGTCTCGAAAGGTTGAAACGATGAATTAGGAAGTTTATATTTACGTAGGTATATACTTTTTGCGGAAAAAAATAAACAAGAAAAATTCTAGAACGCTCTAAGAGCGGTGAAAGGGTTAGCGAGTCTATCCCTATCCCATTCGACAGCCTCTGTGAGGTTGTCTTATGTATTATTAAATCACGTGAAAATTTTAGTATGCAAAACTGTGAACTCCATATTTAGCACATTCAATATGACACGTTATTTAACATTACACTTGCGAGCATCAATCAGAAATCAAAACGCCAAAACTCGGATTGATTAGAGAAAATTTCGATACGTAAGTAAACTTGATATTTAATCCAGTGCATTTTAAACAATCTTTCCGTTTACTACAAATCAACATAACGTATTTACTAATAACGTATGAGAATATGCAATCTATATACTTAACTACAAGCTGTAACGATGTTTATCATAATGTTAATGAAAGAAACCCCGATCTTCAGCTATTCTAGATATATTTTATTTATTTACCTTTGCTAGTGAATTGTATAAAGTAGTACGTGTTCTTTTTTTTTTCTTTTTAATTTATTTAAATGTGTGTGAACGTCCATTTCTAGCTTTATGTAGGTAAGCGAATTTTTGAGCGTCAACAGAACACTGTTGATTACACAAGGATGAACACCAATTACGTTGATTAATGTAGGGCCATTGTAGTCTCGCGTTTGCGCTCTAGTACGCGCGTATTGGGACACATGGTACGACTGAGCGCAACTGTTACATATACTATTGTATATGATGATAGAGAAAACACTTTTTTGTTGGCAACTGTTAATAGGTCTCCAAGCTTTCAGCTTTAAATCACATGACTTACTTAGCGATTAGGTGAATTAAATATGAACTAAATAACAAAAAATAAATTAAATACGAATTTGATTTAATTTAATAACTTACCATAGTTATATAGATAGTTCTCTTAAAAAATCCCAGTGTAATCTTTTCAAAATTGAACTAATTATTATTATTTATACATTCCGTAGATCAAAGGAAAGAATCAAATTCATTTTTTCGCTATTGAAAATATGCTGCATTTTTGTATTTTTGTTGCTTCTTTTAATATTTAACAGCTATTGATACAGCTTTACATAGATATAAGGTATGAGAAATTTTGCCATAATAATTTAGCAGTTTGCATGTGTCATCTTAAAGAATGAATCAAGTGAATGAATCCGCCTTTTTATCCTTTTCAATTTATTATTTCGCAAAATTATACTTTATATTTTTTTTGTAATAATAGTAAACGCATAACACACACACACACACACACACACACACACACACACACACACACACACCACAATTACAATTTATTGATTCTCAATCTTCATGTTTGATATGCACATGTATAATATCAAGATTTGTAATTGTTAGTGATACCTACAGCAACAAAAAAGGCCTAAACATTTAGTTAACAATTGATGTTCTAGTACGGGTAATA